TGCACAGTACCACGGTCTAGGACATAGAGGCTGGAAAACGACATGTGAAACATTATTGCAGGATTTTTACATTACAGGCTTATCTAGGTTGGTGAAAGAATATGTTTCTAGGTGCATTACATGTATAAAGGAACAATCCACAGAACCCAAAGAAATCACAACACCAGCATTTAGTGTACCCAACTACACCTTTCACCCATTTACAAATAGATTTTACCCACATGCCAAAAACAGGACAGAGGCAAGAGTTTTTGTTGGTAATGGTGGATATGTTCAGCAGATGGGTGGAAGCATTTGTCACTAATAAAGAAGATGCACAGAGTGTAGTCAGAATTCTTACACAGGAGATAATACCCAGGTGGGGGATGTCTGCTGCAGATAAATTCTGATAACGGACCAGCTTTTGTGGCCAAGGTATGTCAAGATTTGGTAAAAGTACTTAAGATAGATTGGAAATTTCATATTCCCTATCATCCTCAAAGTTCAGGTATAGTAGAAAGGATGAACAGGACCATTAAGGATAAGTTGAGGAAGGCCACTGGAGGAACCTATACCCACTGGAAGAAGATGTTACCTGCAATTCTAGCAGAGGTAAGAATGACACCTAATAAGACTACAGGGTTATCTCCTTTTGAAATATTAATGGGAAGACCGTTCCCCACTCCTTGGGCTAGACAGCCACTTATGTTAGAAAGAGGGGACCTTGACCTGGTACAACAAGAATATGTGAGAAAATTGATTCAGACTTTAGATCAGATTGAAAGAAATGTTGCTCGCACCTCTCCTTTATCTTTTCAGGAACCAACACACCTTTTCCAAGTGGGAGATGTCGTAGTGGTCCGCCAACTCGCTAAAGACAAGAAGCAAGGCTACCCCTTTGGACCACCTACTACGGTGATAGCGGTTACCAGAACGGCTGTTCTGGTGAAGAATTCCCAGTCCTGGATCCATGCTAGTCGAGTGAAGAAGGTGAACCAAACACCTGAGAAATACGAAACGGAAAAAGGAGGTGAAGGACAAGTAGAAAATCCTCGAAGAGCGGGTGAAGTCGGTGAGAAAGACCCTGAAGATGACATTCCTTACTGCCCCTCATGGTGCTTTGAAACTCTGGGTCCTATTCGGCACACTGACTGTGCTCTTTTTCCTGCCAGTATGGATCCTAACTAACTGTATTTATCACCCTGAGGACTTGGGCCTAATAAAAGGTATCTGTGGTCAAGGACTAGTTTTAAATGAGACCCAGATAACCAAAAGTGAAAGAAAGTCAAAAAGAAGTTTTGAAGAGAACAATCCTTTTTCAGGAAAAATGTTGATGATGCAGTTTAAATATGCTTATGCTCAAAAGTCAGGTTATGATAAATGTTGGATATGTAGTAAGTTACATCCTAGCACATATGAAATTCCTCTTCTGGCTGCTCCAGTCAAAATATATTTTTGTTAATAAAAGGGAATGTAAGTATTGGTTTGACCAATATTACTTCTAATGCCACCATATCTTTTCCAACTCTGGGAGTCACTCAACTCCCCGATTGGTGTTTAGACTGGGGAATACTTCCCACAAGGGAAAGGGAATGTGCTCTCAGTCCATATTAAACATATCTGATCCTGGAAGGAGGGATGGAACTTCTTCTGTGAAACTCTGGCAAGTAAATGGTAAAACCCTGAATGAAAGTTTAGAAGGGATACAAGATAATGTGGGGAAAACTATGTTTGGAAAACTTCTTTTTTATTTTTACACTTGTTGTCACCCACTGTTGAATACAAAAATTGCCGATCTCCTTGGGAAACAATACCTATATCTGTTGTGGTAAGATCTGTTACCCTTGGATACCGAGTAATGTCCAGGGCTGGTGCTATGTAGCCCAATTAGTGCCAATTATGGCAGCTATAGACCAAAAGGAACATCAGGTAAAAGCCAGTACATACCCAAAATACCAACTAACTCTGAGACAGAGAAGGGAAACCAAACAAGAAAAGGTAGATCTATTCTCTACAGGCGATAAGGTTTGGTCATGGTTCCCTACCTACATGGGATGGGGAATAACACTCATGAACAAAATAAATAATTACACAAACATTATTGATGATATACTGGAGAGGAACTCTAAGGACATAGGGTTGCTAAATGCCGAGACCAAAGCTATTAGAAAACAGCTGGAGATGCAAGAATTAGCTATTGAAAGTATGAGTGCTGCTCTGACAGGTCTGTGTGAGATGACAGAGGATTATGAATGTTGTACTTGGATATATAATACCACAATGACTGTTCCAGATTATTATGAAATAATAAAGCAACACAGGGAATAGGTAGATGGTTTGATGGAAGAAGCTAGAGCTATAGGAAAAGATGGATGGACTCCTTTTGATTGGTTAGGATCAGGATTTGGTTCCGTCTTTTCATGGATGAAAGGTATCGCTGTAAGCATAGCCATGATATTGTTTTTTGTTTTATCTTTATATCTATGTTTTAAATGCTCATTATATTGCATTGCTAGAGCTACCAAGCCGCAAAATACAAATGAAGGTTATCTGGCTATGTACAAAAAGATGAATGAAGTAAAGAATTGAGATCATGTTCATGATCTCAGAGGGGATTGAAAGGATCTAGATAACTTCCATTTTGTATTATGTACGCCATTTTAAGTATTAAGTTAGCTTTTTGCAGATATATTAGAAGTTTAATGAAACTGTTTTTGGTCGTTCAAGGATGTATCAACAGAAGCTAACATGACCCTGACAATGTCTTTGTCTGGCTGTTTTTCAGAAAGTTAGCCAAAACAATTTGTACCAAGAAATGTATATGTTATGTTTCATGTAGTTAGCTCATGATCGAAATTTACAAGTTACAGTTTTGAAACTCGCCCCCCCCCCCTTATTATTATCTGTAGTCTATATAATCTTATTAATGTCTAATAAACGTTGAACATCTCTGAACATAATCTGCCGTTATTCCCGTGTTCAAGGGGTGTTCCCAGAATTCTGCTGATAAACCAGGAATCTCTCCACAGACCGGGGGTCTCTGAGGGGAAAAGAAAATCATTCCTTTGCAAATTGCAAAACAGCAACATATCCAGCTCCAATACAGTGCCAAGGGATGCAGTGAACACTCCACCACCACTATGCACTCACCAGAATGCTATAGGTATAGTAGCAATTATCGATGGTCACTATTCACATTCCTGGGCTGGAGATCCTCCTAGAAAGAAAGCTCACCACACGGAGCCAGAGATAGTGTATATAGTGTAATATTTATTTAAAATAGGAAATAAAACTATCCACGTGGAAACATGAAGCACAATGTGTAAATACACAGACCAAAATGGCCACCGCTCTAGATCACGGACACGGCTGCGTGATGTCAGCACATAGGCTCCACCCAACGCATTTCACGTGCATGCACATCTTCAGGTGTATGCCCATTGCCGACGTCAAGAACAGACACCATTTGAATAGTTTGCAAGGCGTGAATATCATTAGCGGGGGTGCCATTTTCTCGAAGCCCATAGCTAAAGACTCACAATTTTTGTGTATAGGCTGAGCCACACTGCAGGAGTGAATTACCTAAAAACTGGATAGCTAAACGAACACTGTGGTGTGAACCACAATGAGAGAGACTATATAGAAATGCCATGAAAATATATACATCCCTCCACATAAAAATGTATACAATAAATGAAGATAAAGCAAATAATACATTTATGAGGCATGCAAACAGATGCCATTTTCTAAGAGCCAAAGGTTTATTGTAAAAATACACAGAAGCCATTTCCTAGAAGCCGAAGGCAATTATAATGCAGTGCTGCAGATATCAGTAGATATAAAAACTCGTAATGAGAAATCTATATTAATGAATCATATAATAATATCAATTTAAAAAGCAGGCGATTTAAATTGTTTTCACAATAACCTTCAATAAAATCGAAACATGTACTGTATGTAGATATTGGTTACCATGTAAATCCTCTTTTTGTAGTGATCTGGGTTGGCCCCTGTGTTCCGTCTGGGTGGGAATCTCGGATGCCAGTAGCCCACAGGCGCCCTGCCCAGGAGATGCTGATGACTTTTGAGTTTGTTTTTATGATTGAAAACTGATTCATGTTTTGATTCTCTCACATTACTATATCCCCTTTACTTAGAGTGTTTGCTATCCCTGAGGAAGGAGTTATATAGCTTTGAAACGCGTCAGTTTCTGAAGAACCATCTCTGTAATCATATAGGATCATTGTTTAACTATTGTATGATATCCTCCAATGTTGATATAAGAATATGTACAATATTATTTTTTGTATTAATGGCGGGGGATGCCATCATTTTATGCAATTGTTTGAAAAATAAAGAGTTTATATATTAATGTAAAAATGCCTTCAAAGTCCCATTCAGTGTAGGGGGGTTTTCTACAACTACCGTATATACTCAAGTATAAGTCGAGTTTTTCAGCACATTTTTTGTGCTGAAAAACAGCCCCCTCGGCTTATACTCGAGTCAACGTCTGCAGATGGCTCCCCCCCCCCTTCCAACAGAAGGGAAACTACGGTAAGTACAGGGGTGGGTAGGGGGCTGCTGTCTCTTACCTGGCTCCGGTCCAGGAAGCGGCTGCTCCTTCATTCGGTTCGTCCACTGGATGTTCGCGTGGCTGCTCGGCTCTGCCTTCTCACAGGTGATTGGCCGCCAGAACTGTAGCTCAGGAAAGGCACACAGGCGGCCAATCACCGGCGAGGAGGCGGAGCTGAGCGGCCCCGTGAAAATCGAGTGAAGGAGATGCAGGTAAGTGTGCCGTGCTTAGGTGCTGCTGCAACCACATATGCTGGCTGCAGCAGCACCATACTGGAACAGGGGTCAGCAAGTGTCAGTGGGAGGAATAGTGCCCCATCATTGGTGTCACTGATACCAATGATGGGGCATTATTCCTCCCACTGACACCAACAATGGGGCACTTTTCCTCCCCCCCACTGACACCAACGATGGGGCACTATTCCTCCACCCCCCCACTGACACCAATGATGGGGCACTATTCCACCCCCACTGACACCAATCATGGAGCACTATTCCACCCCCCACTGACATCAATCATGGGATACTATTCCTCCCCCCCGACACCAACGATGGGGCACTTTTCCTCCCCCCCACTGACACCAACGATGGGGCACTATTCCTCCACCCCCCCACTGACACCAATGATGGGATACTATTCCTCCCACTGACACCAATGTTGGGACACTATTCCTCCCACTGACACCAATGATGGGACACTATTCCTCCCACTGACACCAAAGATGGGGCACTATTCCACTGACACCAATAATGGGGTGCTATTCCCCCCACTGATACTAATGATGGGGCACTATTCCTGCCACTGATACCAATGATGGGGCACTATTCCTCCCACTGACACCAATGATGGGGCGCTATTCCTCCCACTGATACTAATGATGGGGCACCTATTCCTCCCACTGACACCAATGATGGGGCACTATTCCTCCCACTGACACCAATGATGGGGCACTATTCCTCCCACTGATAATAATGATGGGGCACTATTCCTCCCACTGATACCAATGATGGGGCACTATTCCTCCCACTGATACCAATGATGGGGCACTATTCCTCCCAGTGACACCAATGATGGGGCACTATTCCTCCCACTGATACCAATGATGAGGCACGATTCTTCCCACTGGTGTTCCCACCCTCGGCTTATACTCGAGTCAATAGTTTTTCCCAGTTTTTTGTGGTAAAATTAGGTACCTCGGCTTATATTCGGGTCGGCTTATACTCGAGTATATACGGTATATTTAGTCATATAGGGATGGTGGCAGCTTATCAGGATTTCTTTTTCCTTTTCTTTTCTTAATTAAGTCCCCTTGTAAGGAATGAACAAATCTATATAGAGTCAAGCCTCACTTCCAATTAACCAAGACTCATCATGAATTATAAATTAAATTATGCCTCCAAAATCAAAAATGTAAGTTCTACAATGATAAATCAAGCTGTCTTATATCCTGTATGGTGAATAAATAAAAATTCATCATAAACATTAAAAATAACTTAGTTAAAACTTAGTTAAAATATCCTGAATAAAAAATGCAATTATAAAAATAAATAAAAAACATAATAGACTATCTAATAGACTATCTTCATCCAAAATACATTCACGTTTTCACATATCTTGTTAGTGAGCCTGATGTGGTGAGGAAGGCCCCTCGTACAGCTCCGGCTCAGGGGCCACTGAGGATGGAACAGCTATGGCGTGGTATGAGTGCCTGATCAGTCCAGTAGTCTGCGTGGTTGTAGCTGACACCTTTGCTGGATGGGTGGCTGAAGTGCAGCAGCTGGCAATAGGAAGACATTACTGCAGAGCAGAATGGCAGCAGGTTGCATCATTGAGCAGGCTGGTGGCAGGCAGGCTGGCGGCAGGCAGATGACACAGCAGAGCAGGCTGGTAGCAGACAGGTTGGTGGCTGGCAGATGATACAGCAATGCAGGCTGGCAGTAGGCAGGCTGGCAGTGGGCAGATGGCACAGCAAAGCAGGCTGGTAGCAGACAGACTGGAGGCTGGCAGAGGACACATCAGAGCAGGCTGGTAAGGCTGGATACAGGGTAAGACTGGCCAGGTTGGTAACAGAGAGGCAGGCCAGGCATAGACGACAGGCAGAAGAGAGGTCAGGTCACATGCCAATGTCAGCAGCAATAAGGCAGATCAGGCAGATACAGAAAGGCAGAGGCATAATCCAAGCAGCAAACCAAGAACAGTGCAGGTAGCATTCAAGCAAGGTCAGGACAATCCATGTCAATCACAGGTATTGATACAGGAACAGGCACAGGGATACAGGGGGAGCTGTAGATCAGACAGCACTAGCTAATAGAACTGCTCAGTTTAAATAGTCCTATTGGTGCCTACATTAAAGGCAAGCGGCCACGGGTGTTACACGCGCATGTGTGAACGCAACTGCACATGACTATTCATAGAAGGACGGGCACCTACACATCTGTGCTGGTGCAACCTTGTATGTCTGGAGGCTTCGGCTGTACTATGGCTAGTACCTTCCTGACATACGTGTACAATAACTGGATATGTCATTTCAATAATAAAAAGTATCTTAATAAAAATGAGAGATATAGAATATTTAATATATAAATACATTAAAAAAACGCCAAAAAATAAAATTTGTATACTGGCCAAAACATATAATACTGATAAAAAACCTTAGATAGCCCAAAATATCCCAACATCTAAAGCTGCATAATAAGCAAGAACAAAATAAGTGTGAGGAAACAACAATTTTTTCATAAAGAAGGGGGAAGGAAATGTCATACGCATACACGTCCCAATCTACATTAAGTCCGAAGGAGGTATAGCATTTAACATCATAAATCAACTTTGTTTCTAGCTTAGATATTTCTCTCCTGTGGAACTCCCTCTTCAGTGTGGAACAAACTTGTCTATTCCTAGAAACAGTGTGCCAGCAGAGTCCTTATTGTAGGCTACCACATCATGCCTAGAGACACTATGTCCTTTGAATCCTCATCTGATATTACCTCCCTATATATGGGAGGCCACATGGACATTGTAACAGGTAAACTACATTTGTAGTAGAACATGTAATACATTTGGTCGGTATGCCTGCATCTTCACTTCACTGTGGTGTTGAGTAATACTGGTGTTTGTGAAGGAAAGAGAAAATTTTAGAGTGTTCTTCTTAAAAGGGACAGTTACACTAATTTCACTGAGGACTATTTCGTTACTGTTGCCTATTTTTTTCACTTGGGTCTTTTTAATTACTATATCTATTAAGCTGTCTTTTTGTCTTTTTTTTCTTTCACACAAGATAATTTTATGACATATTATTTTACATTTCTTTCTTTTTTTCTTTTGGTTTTTATATGTTATAGCGCAACACTTATTATTCTTGAATACGTGATCAGGACAAAGTTATCGTTTTTTAGGGTTCTTCCAGTAAAAAGAACCATCAAAGGTATGCAGATCCTAATTGCTCAAATCAGCCTTGTGCCCAGAGTTCAGATGCATAAATTAATCAGGTTCTCGAATCCAAGGACTTCAGCTGCTTAACCAATTCCCATTCATTGTAAGTATATACACGTCCTGGAGAAGAAGCAATTATACCAGGATCATGGATGAAACCATAATCCAGGTTTCATTTATTTTAGAGATGTGACTGGCTTTCAGGTAAAAGTGATCTGAGTGGCTCTACAGCTGACAAATACCTTTTACAGGGCTGCCCGCAGCCGTTCTTGGGCTCTCCTGGTACAGCAGGAAGGAGGGTTTAGGGGCCTAGTCTCTCAATAAAGAGCGCCTGTCACTGACAAATTTATCACAAGGGATGTTGTTCAAACAAATTATTGATAAAACATAAAGCTGAATGAAAAACATTTAAAAAGTGAAAAAATGGAAAGAAACATTTTTAAAATGTTTTAAAAATGAAAGCAAATCCAACCCCCCATGCTCCTGTGCAGAAACAAATGTGCATGTAGGTTCCCCACTGATATGTAAATAGTGATTGCATCACACATCTGAGGTATTGCCCCAAACATCAGGATGAGAGCAATTATTTCAGCAGCTCACACTTAAAGCATATTTACCCAACAATTGAATTAAAAATGCCTGCAGCATTGTACCTATTTCTTCTTGCAGGAGACCACTATTTTTCTGAAGCCCAGAGCCCTTGAAAAGCTTTAGGCTGTCAGTAGATCAACCTCTAGTGGCTCTGATATTCAGCACAGCGCCAAAAAATAGAAAGCAGCTATGTATGTGCAGAGCAGGGTGAGACAGTGTATTACTGGATTTTAAACAGTATAGGTGCTTTTTTTATTTTGTATATATTTTTATATTTATTTATTTTTATTTTTTATTAGCTATACCTGCAAAAGTGGCCAGCCTGAAGTTATCTGGCAAGAATTAATTTTCTGATTAAGGTTCCACTTTAACTCTAAACTGATAAATTGCAAAATCTTTTAAGGCAACACTTATGGAGATCTTTAGGTATTGTAGTTTGATGTAATTTCACGGGCATGCAAAATTTAAAATCTCAACGTGTTTGGTATCTATTTATTTGGCACAGCATAATCTTCTATATTTTGCCACAAAATTGGGTATTGTATTCTCTGTGTGCACTAAAATGCATTTAAGTGTAATTGTAAGCGTAATTGTTCCTACAAATTTGCATTTTTTTTTTTATAAATATTTTTTGGTTTTCAATCAGATATAATTAACAAACATTTTCTTCATTAAAAGATCATTATATTCCTCATAATGTATTTAATTCCCACAACCCTAATTCCCTCCTGAACCCCCCCCCTCCCACGCCCATCCTCGTATCCCCCCTCCCCCCTCCAACCCACTCTGCCTTTTCTTTTCTAATCCAAGAGAGAGAGAAAAAAAAATAGCACTATTCTTTTCTTTCTAAAACTCATTTCTAAAATACATTATTCGTTTCAAGAGGTATAAATCAAGTATATTTCACTTTCTGTCTAAATTCTTCCCATTTTCCCCACTTTTTATAGTACTTCTCCATCCCGTCTATGTGTGTGTAATAAAGTCTTTCCATCTCACATAACTGATTCATTCTGATCAACCAATCTTCTTCCGTCGGCACCTCACTTTTTTTTCCAAAACCTAGGGATCAGGCTTTTGGCTGCACTCAGAAAGTACCAAATCACTGAATCCTTATATGATCTCACTGTAAGCTCAGAGATATGAAGAAGACATAACTCTGGATCCAATCTAATATCGATCTTAGTAATTTTCCTCATTAAATGGACGATTTTCCCCCAGAACACCTGTATCTTTGAACATTCCCACCAAATGTGATATAGTGTACCCACTTCTCCACAACCTCTCCAACATAGTGGAGAGTTCTCCCGTTCATCTTGTGCTCCACAGTCGGTGTAATGTGCCATCTAACTAAACACTTATAATTTAATTCTACTTCTCTCATACTAATATTTTCGTGAATTAATCTAAACATTTTCCTCTGCTGTTCCTCATCTATCTCCCTGCCCATATCTTTTCCCCATTTCTCTACATAAGTTCATTTTGTGTCAGTGTCTAGTGCCGTTAAGATTCTATATATTTTGGCAACTCCGTGTCTCCCATCTCCCCGTGTATCTAATAAACTTTCAAATGAATTCCACTCCTTTCTAATTCTCACCGGTTTTGGAAGACTCTCAAAAAAGTGTTTTAATTGGTGATATCGAACCTCGTCCATTCTGCTAAAAACCTCTCCCTTTAATTTCTCCATCTCTCT